ATGTTTAGCTTCTCTGGATAAGATGAGATCCAAAGCCAAAACAAAGTGGAAGCAATATCACTTGAGGAGACTTTCCTTTACTGGAACGGTGAAGCTGGTCAGAGACAACTGGAGGATAAATTGAACTAAATACAGTAATAAATGCACATATATGACTGTACAATGGACAATGGAAACTGGAAGAGAAGGAGCTGAATGAACCATCATGGGATGTACCTATCACAGATAGCTGTAGTGGCTGATGTGACCAAATCCTACCAGTGGCTAGACGGGGCCGGACCGAAAGACAGAACTGAAATACTGATCACTGTAGTACAGGAGCAGGTCTTGAGCACCAGAGCAACAGAAACTCAGATCTACCATACCAGGAAAGATCCCAGGTGCAGCTATGCAAAGAGGCTCCAGAAACAATCCAGCATCTCATAGCAGGAAAGGAATGCATGGAACGCCAGGGGCCAAGCAGCCAGGATAGCCGGAATACGACCTGGAGACCCGTAGGTCACAGTGGAAATCACCTCCCCAGGTGATGGAGAATTGTCGAGCTAAGATCCTGTGGCACTTCCAGATACAGATGGACAAAGCAGTAATCTCCAATCAACTGGACATTGTGACCATTGATGAGCAACAGTCCCAGTGATTTGGGACTGATCAATGTGGCAGTCCCAAATGTCGGAAACATCAGGAAAAAGGAACACGAGAAACCAGAGAAATCAGGGAATAACTAGAAAGAGCCGGAAAGGTGAAGGCAACAATAGTGTAATTAAGTATAAATGCAAATACACACAACAATTTTGATATTTTTATTTTTATGTGTGCATTTCCCTTTCACTTTGCAATTAAGCATTAATTATATTTGTCTATCAACCAAAATCTCAATGCATTAGAGTTTGTAGTTTTGAGAAAAGATGTGAAAAACTTCAGGGCTTAGGAGTACATTTACAAGTCACTGTACAAAAATTAAACAATAAGCACTTTAATACACTTTTAATAATAAAAAAAAAAATTGCTGAGTCTTGTTTTATATTTAATACTTATTTATGGTTTTGGATGTTCAACGCACACTCACTCAGAGGAAAGCTTAATTCATTCCATTAACATTTAAACAAAAATGTTAACCTTGTGTTATCAGTGATGATACACATACATTGGGCTATAAAGATAATCAAAACTTAGTCTTAATTTCTGCGAGAAGACATGATTTAATAGGGGGTGATAAACATTTAGTCATTCTGTCAGCCTCAGTCAAGATGAATGAAGCCTTGGGGTGGAAGAGAAGCTGGTAGCACTAATGATGCACAAAACAGCAAACAGCACACAGGCTGTAGAGAGATGCAAGACTGCCATCCCATGGCCAAAGAGTGAACAGAAGTTCTCCCTCATAAGGCTCAATGTGCAGACGGTAGGAAATGGCACAACCGCTAAAATAGGAGTTATTCTCTGTCCATTGCATTTATTTTATAGGTCGAGCGCAATTCCATAGAGCCGGTTTCTCTTTCTGTATAATGAAGGACTGTGATGGTGCTTTATCACTTGAACATCCTCATCCCCAACATTAGCTCAGATATAATGAGGGTTATTCAGAGGACGGGGGCCCTCTCCACAGAATGATAAAAGACCCGAGAGTATGTCTGTGACATGGCATCGGTCATTAGCCTGCCTCACTTTGCCCTTTCATGTATTTCTAAATAAGTGCCTTCCTGTGGGTTTAACAGACCACCTAATCTGCCTACTTAGAGGTGCGGGCGAGGAGTGGGAGCCCAGAGAGGTGAATTTCAGGCAGGTAAATGTGCTTATCTGCGCTGTGACATGTTTAGCCTCTCTGGTGGAAATTCTGCCACAGGCTTCCTACCCCCGGCAGGTTTCACTGGTGATATAAATTATGGTGAGGGGGGGGGATTAGTGTATTTATGTGAAGTATCCTGTGAAAGTGGAGCAGTGGCTTTCATAGATGTTACAGCTTTAAATCCCCACAGCAACTCTCTCTGCGCCGTTTTCTTTTAAAGGTTAACGTTGATTTAAGAATTCCCCCGGTGTTGGCCTGTCTGATCAATACTTTTAAACATACAGTTCTCCCCCCAAGACTGGAGAGGAAGTCTTATCTCTGTTGCCATAAAGAATAAAAGATTGGAGATACAATGGGGGACTGATTTGAGGACAGGTGGGGATATTAAAGTGTTGGCAACCAAAAATAACTTGCCTTGATGCAAAAAGAAAAAAAGATGCTGGAAAAGATTAAGACAACTTTTAGAGAATGTAAAAAAATAACACACAAAATCAATTAAAATCCCTTAAGAGCTGCTTTTGAATGAAGCAAAACAAGGTCAGAAAAAAAAAACAACTTGCTTTCAGGCGGATTTGTAAACAGCCCCCAAAGAATAAAAAGAGCAGGAATTTGATGATTTTCAGACCCCTCTTATTTATTTTTTTATCATGAAGAGTACTGCAGACTGAAATACAAGCAGATTACTCTACATTTAACTCCAAAGAAGGTGCAATCAGATTATGGGTCAAACATTTCAATTTACATAGCACCAAGGAAGCATGTTCTTATCCTTCACACCCAAAGCCATTTTAAAAATGTCATTATAGTGAGTCTTGGCCGGACGATGTAGTCAACCCCGTTTTCACACTGTGAAATGAGCTTCACTGACCCAGACGCTCCCTGGGCTTCGAAAATGTGAGCCCTTGCTTCGGCTGATCTTACACCAGTCTGCCATGTGACAGAAGGTTGTGAGGTTAACAGAAAGGCTGGTAAAACATCATTGTCACCAATCAGGAAAACAAGCCCCAGGCTCCCAACTTGACTTGGGAAGCCGTATGATGTAAGTTACTGGTCCAAAGAAGATAAGGAACGGCAGCAGTGACATTCGTCCTTTAGGGTTAATGTAAGTGTATGAGAAAATTGTATAGGCTTGCAAAAGTATTGAACTTCCTTCACATTTTGTCACTTTACAGCCACAAACTTCAAGGCCTTTTCTTTGGACTTTATGTAATAGACCAACACAAAATAAAGCCCAATTGCAAAGAGGAAAATATTATATGCATGGAATGCATTTGTATTCAGATCCCTTTACTCTTATAAACCTAAATTCAACGGCACTGATTATTATTATTATACCTAAATAGCAAATAAAGTCAGACTCACTACTTTGTAGAAACAACTTTTGCAGGAATCACAGCTGTAGGTCTTTTGCAGTATGACTGAACCAGATTTCAACATCAAAAAACAGAAACTTTTGGTCATTCTTCTTTGCAAAACAGTTCAAAATTTATAACATTTGTGAAAAAGCAACGTTAATGTTTTGCTACAGATTCTCATCTACATTTTGGACTGACTAATCTATCCTAGCACAACATACTTTGATCCAACCCGTTCCATTGCAGCTCTGGTTGCATGTTTACTGTTGCTACTGAAGGTGACCCTCCTCTCAAGTCTCAAGTGTTGTGCAGACTAACAGCCTTTCAGCTTCTCATTCTCGAATGGGGAAAAGCATCAACACTCGTCACCATCACATTGTTTTATATATATATTTTTCCTTCCCACTGCTGTGTAAAAACTAGATGTGAGCATCACTAAACCATCCAGCAGACCGATTCGTCCAGCAGGGTTGTGATTCTCGGCAGCTCTTACAACTCTAATCTGGCCAGTCATTTTAGGTTCATGGCCTTGAACCTAAAGGTTTGAATTTGTACCTTACTATTTCCATGTTGGATAAGATATTAAACAGTGCTCTCTGAAAAATTATAAGCTTTGGATATCGTTCTGTAACCTAACTTATCTGTCGTGCACTCTGTGTGCTCTTTGGTTTTCATAGTGCCAAATGTCCAGCATTGTTTCCTGACTTAAAATTCCACACAAGTGAGCTCTGTAATTAATTAGCTGACTTCTGAAGGAAATTAGTTCAGTTAATTTTATTTAGTAAAAAAATGAATACAGTCACCTAATAGATGAATTAAATTACTTTTTTTTTTGAAGTTTGTGTTAATACTTTTTTGGATAGAATTTTAAATGCACACACCCACCAGGAGAGGAGGATGTGCAACACCAAGCAGAAATGGTGGTAAATGACTTAATTTCATTTAAGTATTGCTTTCACGAATCGGCCATGATTAAAACCTAAAACTCGTTTTAAATAATAAAAACATAAAAGGTCAAGAATAAAGAAAAGAAACATTTATTTTGCAGCTTTCATGCTGCAAGGAGACTGAAGCATATTCACAGTAGAATGCATAAAACAAAGAAGGCATGTTACAAAGAATGGCTTAGGCAGTGGTAGAAACATCTCACTCACCACAGCACTTGATTAAACATGAGTTAAGATGCAAAGCTTTGCTCAAGGACACAGTAAGGTAGTATAGTTCAGACAAATTGCTCTGTTAGAGCACATACATAGTGTACAAACATGGTTCGATTTCCAGTTTGGTTGGCACAAACTATTTAAAAGTGTCCACTGTGAACGAAACCCCCTTCCTATGAATTGGCAATGAAATGCATGTTATTAAAATGTAAAGAGCCTCTGATTTCCTGCAATTAAACTATTGACCACAAAGCAGGCATGTCATCATTGAAGATTGTCGTCAAAATGGCAGAACATCGGCATTCCTGTGAAAGAAACAAGAAATGCAAATCTGCACTACTAGAAAGGTCGGAGTACATGGATGCTTTCTTCTGTTTGTGATAAACTAGTAAATATATCGCATCACATCTGCACAAAGAATTAATTAATGAGTTTTTCAGTCCCCAAAATTCTGCAGCTTTTTACCTCCAGAACTACAAAGAATCTCTCTGACATTTTGTAATCCTACCGAGGCAAGAAATTAGAAAGGAATATGAAATAACCCTGTTTGGCCACAAATCCTCTAATTGGATTCCACTACCTTGAGAATCATCTGTGGGCACAAAAGTCACAAAGTCTTGGGGAAAGATAAAGCTTACGCACTCAGAGAAAAAAAAATAATAATTTGAAATGTTTATCAATTCAAAGCAGCCAAGTAGAAAGGACCAAATGGATGAGACCTTGGCAAAGCAGTAAATGTCATCATTAATGGACAAACATGACAGACAGCAGCATTATAGTTCCTACAGTTTGACAAACACAGAAACAAGAGGTCTGCATGATAAGGTTACGACTGGCTTCGGAAATTTAACGCGTTGTTTACTGAAATTCAAAGGCATTATTCAGCGTTAAACAGTGGAGAAATTCTTGAGCAGCATAGTTAGTGTCACTGGCAGTTTGGTCATTAGCTTAGTGTGAGCCATCAAGCACTGCAGTTTAAGTCACAGTAACAACAGTGGTCATCTTCCAGTTTTAGTACGTAAAATTGGCAACAAAGTGGTTGAGATTGTTGTAGAGACTAATCTATCACAAGCCATTACAAAAATAATTATCAATTTCCCATTTAAATGACAATGAAAGACATCTGCTTTGTTCCCCGGCAATACAGATGTGTGTTGTGGCTTATATTTAGGTCCATGAAGAGCTCAAAGTAAACAGCATCTCTCTCTGAAACTCTTCTTGCTCTTCTTGTTCTTTCCTTTCCCGTTTTTGTCCTTGTTTTCAGTCATTTTCTTGCCACGCACTTCACGCATCAGGTCGAAGAATACCTGGAGGGAAAATGAGTAGCTACTTGTCACATGTTTGGGAGTCAGGTAAAAAAATCTAACAAGTAAATCTTTAAAATTCGGTACTGTACAGAATTTACAAGTTGGATACGAGTGGTTCATGTTAGCAAGTTGCACCAAGGTTTTACAAATTCATGGTGTCATAATCACCAAAATTTTCCAAAGAGTGAATGGGTTAGGGTTTGTCGTTGGTCATAAATGCCAACTTTTCCGGAGTGTTTGGTGGCCATTTACGTTTATTAATTAACTGATTTATTTTTTTTCTTTAAGAAAAAAAAAAAAAAAAAAACTTAATCCAGTTTATAACCTAAATTTGTAAATAATTATTATATTTGCACATGTTGTGATTCTTTTAGTCAAATGTCCAGTGTGACAATGTGAGGGTTTTTGATATGATTATTTTTGGCCACTTTTTGAACTTTAGGACCAGATTAACCTTTGTTAGATTCCAAATTTGTCAATTTTTTGTCAATTTTTGCTAGAAATATATATTTTTTAAAGAATCAAGTTGGAAGTGTAAAATTCTATGTTCTGTTTCCCAAATAATAAGAAGACACCTAAATGCCAGCCATATAATAAAGCAAGCAGGACCGTCATCTCCATGTCAATCTGTCACTCGGTCATTACTGCTGCAACACCAGCGGCACATTTTTACTTTCACTTTGGGAGCGGTTCTCTAGTTGAAACCTCCCCAGCAGTAGAAAACAGCACATTCCAAATTTGCAGTGAAAGGAAAATGGACTGCATTTTTATGCGTTCATTCTCCCTCCAACCAACACAAGTGTGATGTGCTTAATTTACCAAGAGACTGTCGGTACGACAAAGCATTGAGAGCAAGGAGAGGCATTTTGAAGAGAAATTTTCTCAAACTTTTGAGTCAAGAAAAGGAAGAATAAAAGCTCTATGACCATTTTATCAAGCTGCAAGTAGAATTCTTGTTTGATCCATGAAACAAAACAACACAATCCAACAGCGAACACACTCTTAGTGGCATGGATTTTAAAACAGATCTTACTGCAGATCCTGATTTCTTTGCTTACCGACAAATTCTGTGGAGGAGTTTATTCTTTTTGTTAAATTGAAAGAGAGTTGTAACTTTTATTTTATTTTATTAATTTACAAGATTCTTGAATTATTTTGAGTACAACTGTATGTTGTATGTATGGACTATAATACATGGACCTCTGACTATGAAAAATTTTCATTTTGGTCATTTGAGATTTGTATCTATATAACTCTGGTTTAGGTAAATTATGCCTATGAAGTAGCTGACAACAGTCTGGCTACCTGAGCAGGCTGTGTTGTTTTACTAACCAGTCAATATCAATGCTGTTGATTATAATTTTAGCCTTTTTCTATTCAGTAATGCAGTGAGTGAGCATTGGCACCTTATCCACGTTGGCTCTAGTTTTGGCAGACGTCTCTACATACTGGACCCCCCACTCCTCAGCCTTCCCGCGCGCCTCATCACCAGACACCTGCCGACGATCCTCCAGATCCGACTTGTTGCCAACCACCAGGAGAGGGATCTTGTCCTCCTCCGCCTTCACTCGCAGGATCTGCTCCCTGCAAGCACAAAACAAAAACCCAATAAGCAAGTGCAAGGGTTGTCGAATACTGTTTTTGTACTTTGCAAATAATAGGTACAATTCTTTAACATTTAGCAGGAGCATCATTGTTTTTGAAATATAGTGGGTTATTTTCTTCCCTGCAAAACAAATCCACGTTGGACTGCATGTAACAGTTTTGTTGCATTTTTTATATTTTTTTTTGGATCAGATTCAAGCAAATCTTTGTCAATTCCTCAGAACTGATATTGAAAAAAAGCTATTAATTTAATCCTAAACCAAACTTGTCTAAAAGAATGTCATGATCAAGAAGTAGAAAAAATGTAATTGAGTCATTTCAGTGATCACAGTCATTACCAATATAGCGACATGTAATCTAATTTACATCTCATCAAAGTTGCGGACCTTCAACAGATGCCACATTTACGCGTTTGCCTCACTGCATCATTACCTGAACTCATCAGTGGCACTGAAGGACTCGTGCTCTGTGATGGAGAAAACCAGCAGGAAGCCCTCCCCGCTGCGAAAATAATTATCCCTGATAGCAGCATAGTCCTCCTGGCCAGCTGTGTCCAGGATGTCGATCTGGACTTCCTCCCCGTCCAGCACTACCTTCTTCCTGTAGCTATCCGCCTTAGTGGGTTCGTAGTCTTCGACAAACTGAGAAGGAGAACATTAAGGCAATTTATTTTCTTGCGTTTTGAAGACTGTATGTGTGTTTGCACAAGGATGCAGAACACCAGATCGAAACAACCTGTCAACTTTTTCAGATTCCAGTCATAAAATTCAACATGTTTTCTTTGGATTTTATGGAAATCACCAACACAATGTAATGTATTTTACAGATTAAAATATGAAAGGTTTGACATGCATTTGTATTTACATCCCAAAGTCATTACTTTGCAGAATCATTGTTACTGCAGTGAGGGTGACACCACCACCTTTACAAAAGAGGCCATTCATTTTGAAATTTTTACCAAAACAGCTCAATTTGAGACACACTGAATGGAGACCATCTGTGAATAGCAGAATAGATTCTTACCTGGATGTGTGTCTGGGCCATTAAACCGTTGTAAATGTACAGCAAATGTTTCTAACTTGTCAACATGACAGACCCAGGTTTTTAGGCGGGCCAGAGTTCGATTGTGCATTCACACCTCCCCAAATGAACTGGACTTTCCAGGCAAACAAATTGGGTGTGAATGCACCCTCCCCTTTCACTTGCACACTTCAGATCAAATAGCATTAAATTACAAAGCAGTTTGTGGTTGTAATATGTAAAAAAGATCATATGATTTCAAAGGAAGTTTGAGCTACTGGTCTTATTAAAGTGTTTTTAGCCTCTCCTATGTAGTCGTTCTGGGAGCCCTCATCTCATTTTAACAGCGTTTCCCAGGAGACCAATTAAACAAAGGGAACCGTGGTTAACTGATCAG